AACAGATCTTTAGCTGACAGAGCAATACATTTAGAGCAGTAATTATTTTTTTTTAAATTTGCATTTAAGATAAAAAATAAAATGTTGTCTGTCAATATGCTCAATTCACAATTACTTAAGTGGAAAAGTTTCAAGAAATGATTCTGAGATGATTCACTTTATAACATGGCGCATTATCCTGTTGGAAGTAGCCATCAGAAGATTGGTACACTGTGCTCATAAGGACATAGGTCAGCATGCTAAATTGGTTTTAAGTGGCCCAAAGTGTGGCAATAAATATACCCCAAATAGATGGTAGAAATAGATCAGGCTCAGTATAGCCTAATTATAGACTCTTACATTTTAGCTTGAATTGATTTATTTAATTAAAGTACGCTAGATTACTGTGTATGCAAATGTTATGTAAAAGAAATACACAAAATAATTTACTTCAAAAATTAGTTTTAATCAGAATCAGTTGGCTGTAATGGTTAATTTTTTTTTTTTAGATTTCCACTTTTTTTTTTTTTTGTTATTGAATATATAAGAAAACAATAACAATCTCAAATAACAAGTCAATAACAAATATTTCAATACAAGAAGAAATATCACAACTCCTGCTTTTGAAAAATAAAATTAAATGCACCGGCTGGAACAAAGTATAAAATAAAATAAAATAAATAAAAATAAATAAAATAATAATAGTAGTTAAAGTAAATGAATCAGTGGGGACTACCAACTGAAATTCTTCAATTAACTCAAACAATTTAATTGCATTTAAATTCTGCATCTTTCTCAGACATCTTTTGAAAAGGGAAAGTTCATTTTTGAGAGCAGAGATTGAGAGGGAGCATTTTGCATAGCGACATTTATGGATATAATACTTTGTTACAATTATTAGAATATTGATTAAAAATTCCAATTTTTTTTTCTTTAATGGATAAACCGAATTGAATGTTTTGCCAGGAAATAAAATCTAAATTTATTGTTTTAGAAGACAGAAAGTTTCGAAGTTGATCCCATAAGTTTAATACTTCTTTACATTCATAAAAAAGATGTTTAGTTGTTTCCAATTGAGTTGTACAAAAGCCACAGTTCTCAACATTAAACTTAAATCTCTCTCTTAAAAACTCATTTGAAGGATATATGTTATTTATTATTTTAAATTGTAATTCTTTATATTTAGGAGGAATTGGGAATTTCAAATAATTTGTCCTAATTTTGACTATCATAGATTTCTTAAAATTTTGTAAGAGAGCTGTGCTTTTTGTTCTTCCTGGGTACATATTATTTATAGAATATTGATTCAAAAACTTGTTGTTGCATTTATTATCTCTAATGTCCACCTGCTCAAATTCAATCTTATGGAGACAAACAATTGCAATTGCAAACAATTTATAGGTGCATTACTGCCACCTTCCAGAATGGAGCGACGCGAGCTCTTCTCGCGAGTCCTTCCGTATAACAATGACGTCGTATGTGATTGGAGGAGCCTGATGAGCCTTCGGCCCCATTGTCCAATCACGTGTGAGCTTTTGTGCACTACGACTTCTCGCGAGACCAGCATATTAGCAGACATGTTTGTGTTACTATACTCAGAAGAGCTTCATCTCCAGTTACCGTGTTTGTATTTTGTTGTTACGTGAACAATGGCTGCACGACGTCTCGCGTTCAACTCGCCTCCAACTGCTCTTAGTCCACAACTTTCGGCCAGCCCGCAGACTGACGAGAAGAAACTGCTGATTGCTATCAGCGGACTGTCTCGTCAGCTTGCCCAACATACTGCCGACATGAATGAGCGCCTCACTCAGCTGGAGAATTCCCTGCAGCAGACGAGCAACTTTGCGGGATATACGAACTCGAGGAAGAGAAGACGGGTGCACAACGCCACGCTAGCGGTAAATATATGTTCGATTACTGGTAGCTATGCTAAAAGCAGCCTAGCTTAGCTAGGCAAGCTAAAGACAACCTAGCCTAGCTAGGTAAGCTAAAAGCAGCCTAGCCTAAAGCTTTATTAAAGTGTATTTTTTGTGATTCACAGGAAGCAGTATGCCGTCTTAACAACTCGGAGACTAATTGCAGGCGCTATGAACCGGAGCAGGGGTAAGGTTTAAAGAATATGCTTTCATTCTGCGGTAAAAGGACATGGATACGGATGGATACCGACCATAGCTGTACTTTTTTTTTTTTTTTTCACAGACTACAGTCGCCTCACAATGAGGCGGTGACCTCCTATTTGCTCGGATTTGCACGATGTTGATAAAGACGACATTGTGTGTAAGTGACTTGTTTTAATGTTTTCTCCTTCCATGTTACTGTGACTTGCGTTTGATTTTTTTTTTTTTTTATTCATACCACTCTCATTTAATTGTTTTCCAGCTGCCTGTAAGACGTATTATGAGACGGTATGCAGGAGCTTCAGATACACGCTGCTAGCCAGCACGCTGCGTGCGGAGGCTGCCAGGCTATCTGCTCGGAGTCGGGCCAGAAGAAAGAGGGTAAGACTTTATTTGGTGACTATTTTTCAGGTGCATTGATAGATGTGTTGTGTCCATACGCAGTGCGCTGATTCATGTTTTTTTTTTCAGCTGCTGAAGGCGAGGCAGAGTGTGCTGGCAGATGAGGAAGTGGAACTCTGGAAGTCCGCCACCGTCGACCTCATGTCCGACGAAGAAGATGGCGTCGTCGGCGGTGTCTCTGGATGGATTGTACGGTCGCCGTCATTTCGTAGGCCGGATCTCACTGAACTCTGTGTTAAGCTGCAGTCCCGGTTAGAAGCGATGCCTTAGTACAGGGCCACGCACAGTAGGCGTCTGCACATCGGACCTGCCTCGGAGGGAATGCTGCCAGTTACCTCCAACCCCGAGGAAGCAAATGGACCGTTCACAGAGTTTTAATTTTTAGATACGCATGTGTTTGGATACGCGTTGTATATAGTTGTGTGTGTTTTAATAAAGCTCTTTCTTTGCATAAACAGCTTCCTGGCAAATCTTCATTTCCTGTATAAATTCATTCATGTCCTTGATGGTAGCATAATAATTGTGTAGTAGTGTAGGATAACATAAATACACAGCATATGAATGAATAAATATATGAATGAATAAATATATGAATATATATATATATGAATGAATAAATATATATATATGTAAATATATATATATGCCAACCAATCACGAGCGACTTTACTTGTTTAAAAAGAAGTGGTTCCGTCCAATACTCAGTAAGAAAATTAAAGCCTGGCGTGGCCACGTGTGGTTTTGCTGCCAATCACGAGCGATTTCATTTGTTTGAGAATAGTGGTTTCAGCCAATACTGAGAAGGTTATTCAAGCCAGACCTGGCCAGCCGCGCGGGTTTGCTGCATTCATATGCTAATTAGGGCCATTAGTACAGCTGATCGCTCTCCACATACGTCACGGTACGTTTTCGACAATTTGTGGCACGACAAACGCGGACAAGCACGGGTTGCAAATTGTCGGAAACTGACGAAAATCAGGCAGATCTGCGGGAGTTTACGGGGGTTTACGGGGACGAAAATCTCACTTTTCATGCAGTGCCAGAGCTGACAGGATCAGTGGCACTGAATCCATTCATGATTCCTATATACCTTTTAGTATACAGGCATGAAAATTACAAGGTATTCATATAAGACTGAAAGGGGTATGCCTCCAATTACCTTGAATGGGAAGTAAATATTCCAGCCTTTTTTGCTGTCTTTTTCTAAAAGAAAGTAGGATTCTATGCTCAGCTACACAGTGCGCAGCTCCCCGTCACTGACAAAATAGCCATCAGTCTCAGTCAGCTAGGATAATTCTGAAGGACAGATAGCCAGCGGAAGGTTCAATAAAGCTGGGCTTTTTCTAGTTTGTAGAGTCTCAGAGGAGGGAGGCAGACATCAAGTTTGATACAGATCAAAGTATCTACGAGATATTAGCCATCAAAAATGCAGATTTTGACAAACTCGAACGCTGCTACGACCGTACACTGGGGACCTGGGACATCAAACTCACAGGCTCCACCCAGTGCTATGCCTCAAACAACATATCCGAAATCCAACCCTGTACGACAATCTTGACCGATTGGCCTAAAATAGGTGTTAGGGTCCTATGACCACAAGAAGATATCCTGCTAGCAGACAAAACAGACTCTACTATCAAAGTGATTGCGTCTTTTCAGCATTGGTGGTTCAGTGGTAGAATTTTTGCTTGCCATGTGGGGGACCCGGGTCCAATTCCCGGCCAATGCAGTGTGTCTAGAAGTTGTCTTTTTGAAAACACAAGTATCCCAGGCTTGCACCTCTCTGGGCTATCCAAACTGTTGCATATGGGGGAATGTTGGCCTAGTGTACAGATGTGCTATCTGAGATATCCACAGCTGAATCTCTGAGCAAGACCCATTAACCCCACTATTTTCCCTAGGCTGCCCACTGCACCTTAAGGGGCCGGGTTAAATTTAGAGAGGTAATTGATCCATTTTGTGATCAATAAATTCTATTTGCTATTATAGGTAGAGTTACCAAATTTTACACACTTGTTCAAGACTGTCAAAGGATTGTTTGGCGCCATTGTGGGGTCCCAAGCCCACAAGGTTCTTGAGTTATGCAAGAAAAAATAGCCAGCGGAAAGTTCTAGGACGCTGGGCTTTTTCAGGTTTATAGAGTCTCAGAGAAGGGAGTCAGACATCAAGTTTGATACAGATTGTACAAAGTATCTGCGAGATATTAGCTATCAAAATTGCAGATTTTGACGAACTTGAAGGCTGCTGCGACCATACAATTAGGACCAGGGACATCACAGGCTCCACTCAGTGCAATCTCTCAAACAACATATCCGAAATCCACCCCTGTACGACCACAACCATTATTCAAACTTTCGTTGTGGAAAATACTTTATTTTGGACAAGTTTGTTTTAGGGATTGCATTGTATTTTATACTGTACACTCAACTGCTTTGACAGTCTGGCAGGACACAACAAGGAATTCAAGCACTTCAAAAAGCATGTATTTCTTTGGACATAAACCAGGGGACAGGGGGTACGGAGTCCCCGACTACCACAATTTATGCAGTCGAAATTCCCACATATGAGGAATTGGCAAAGGTCGGCACATCCGGGGTGCAATAGCAAGCCTCACTCTGGGTGAACCTCTTTCATGATCAAGGTGTCGCCTCTGCCAGGTAAGTATGATGTGGAACAGTCTAAGTCAAAGGCCCCATTCAAGGCAGCTGAATGTTGTTAAGCAGTGGCCAATGTAGCCCCCTACCCTTCAGCATGAGCAGTTGTTAAGTTGAGGCACGAGCTATTGATCCTTTATAAGAGGAGGAGGAGCCCAAAAGCCTCATCTGTTCAGATCAAAGGCACCTATTTTGATACATTTGAGCCACCCTAGTTTGTGGGAGATGCTTGTTCTTCCATTGACCCAGAGCTGACAGGATCAGTGACACTGAATCCATTCATGATTCCTATATACCTTGTAGTATACAGGCATGAAAATTACAAGGTATTCATATAAGACTGAAAGGGGTATGCCTCCAATTACCTTGAATGGGAAGTAAATCTTCCAGCCTTTTTTGCTATCTTTTTCTAAAAGAAAGTAGGTGTCATGGTTGGTCTGATATGTCTGACCCACATGCAGAACACTCAGGAAAAACAGGTCACAGATTAACGTTTTATTCTTAAAGGAAATAATAATTCGTAACTCCTCTAGGAAACGACCACCAGAAGAGGAGTTCGCGAGGCGAATCTCTCGAGCGGAACACGAACAATCTAGGGATTAAGGAGAGGAAACAATTAGCGGAGGAAGGCAGAGGGAGAAGAAGAAGGTGAGACGCGCCGGCTTACCACTTAGGCTTGGGAACGGCCGGGGGGGGGGGGACTGAGTGAACTTAGCTCTGCAGGCGGAGAGGTTCCGACAGCTGACCGGTGGAGCAGGGCGCAGGCTGGGTCCGAGCGGCGCTGGCCAAATCCTGAGACAGCAGGGGAACCAGACGGATCCGGGGGTGGTCCTTCCACGGCCCGGTTCGGCGGTCCACGAAGCCGAGTGGGTTTCCAGGAGCCAGAGACGAGGGATCAGCTGGGCCAGAAACGAGCTGAGGCGGAAGGCTGCTCTGCTTCGCCTGAGCCTCGGGGGGGAAAAAGGCAAGCAGAACCTGGGAGACACAGAGAGCACGAGCTTAGAAAAAGGTTTGATCAGCCTGGAGACTGAGGCCTCTGAAGCATACCAACAACGGATAATACTCTGGCGTCCTCCTGCTGTCAGAGTGCAGATCTTATAGTGCAGCCCAGCGCCGCTGAACACACGCCGAGGGCGCGCACCCCGCCCATCAGTCAATTGCCGTCAGCTGTGGAGAGAGCAGAGGGAAAAAGCAGGCCAGCAGAGACTGAGTCCTGACACCACCCCCCCCTCAACGGTCACCACCAGGGGACCGAGAGGAAGACGTGGAGGGACGGGAAGACCGGAAGGACTCAAGGAGTGACTGGTCAGTGATCCAGGAACCGGGAACCCATGACCGGTCCTCGGGACCGCAGCCCTCCCAGTCGACGAGGTATTGAAAACCTCTACCCCGGCGACGGGAGTCCACGATCCCACGGATCCGGCGTCCCTGGAGGTCCGGGGTGGTTGGGGGGGGTTCGGCCAGAGGGCACAAGGGACTAGAGACGACGGGCTTAATTCGGGAAACGTGGAACGTGGGGTGAACTCTAGAGTGGGATGGGAGACGGAGACGGACTGCAGTGGGACTGACGATGGAGGTTATCTCGTAAGGTCCAGAAAAACGGGGGGGATAGTTTCCTGTGGGAGGAACGGGAGGGGAGATCCCTAGTAGAGAGCCAGACCCGCTGACCGGGTTGGTAATGGGGCGCCGGGACACGTTTCCGGTCGGCGAATCGGCGGTTCCGCTCCGCCGTTCCTTGGAGGGCCCGAATGGTCTGAGCCCAGAAGTGTCTACAACGGAGAATGTGGTGGTGGACGGAGGGGACCGCAACTTGTTTCTCTTCAGAGGGGAACAGGGGAGGCTGGTAGCCTAGGGAGGCTTCAAAAGGCGAGACTCCGGTGGCAGAGGAAACTTGGGTGTTGTGGGCGTACTCAACCCAGGATAGGTATTTGCTCCAATCTGAAGGATTAGATGAGGTGAGGCAGCGGAGAGTGGCCTCCAGCTCCTGGTTCATGCGCTCCGTCTGACCGTTAGTTTGCGGGTGGTAACCAGAAGTGAGGGTATACCTGGCCCCCAGGGCTGAGGCAAACTCCTTCCAGACCTTGGAAACAAACTGTGGACCACGGTCAGACAGGATGTCCTGGGGGATCCCATGGAGGCGGAAAACATGTCGAACCAGGAGCTGGGCCGTTTGCAGGGCGGAAGGGAGCTTACGTAGGGCGACGAGGTGACAAGCCTTAGAAAAGCGATCAATGATCGTGAGGATAGTCGTGAAACCGTTGGAGGAGGGAAGACCAGTAACGAAATCTAGAGCGATATGGGACCAGGGGCGTCCTGGAACAGGAAGTGGCTGTAGGAGACCGGCAGGGGGTCTGTTAGAATCCTTGTTTTGGGAGCAAACAGGACAGGAGCGCACAAAGCCTCTAGTGTCGCGGGACATGTGGGGCCACCAGAAGTGACGGGAGAGGAAGGAGTAGGTGCGGTGCACCCCGGGATGGGCAGAAAACTTCTCTGAATGGGCCCATAGTAAGACCTGGGGACGAACGGAGGCAGGAACATAGAGACGGTCAGGTGGGCCGTCACCCGGGTCCGGGTCCGACTGTTGGGCTTGAGAGATTAGATTCTCGATCTCCCACTTGAGCGCGCCGAAGGTGCAGGAGGATGGCAGAATGGGGGCTGGTTCCTCTTCAGAGTCCGGTGGGGAGTGCAGGCGTGACAATGCATCTGCCTTCTGGTTCTTGGACCCGGGGCGGTAAGAGATGGTTAGATTGAACCGAGAAAAAAAAAGTGACCAACGTGCTTGCCTGGGGTTGAGGCGCTTAGCTGATTGTAGGTAGGCCAGGTTCTTGTGGTCAGTTAAGATCTGCACAGGTTGCTCGGAACCCTCCAGCCAATGGCGCCACTCCTCAAGAGCGAGTTTAATTGCCAGGAGCTCTCTGTCCCCCACGTCGTAGTTTCTTTCTGCTGGAGACAAACGTCGGGAAAAGAAAGCACAGGGGTGAAGCTTTTGGTCCAGATCAGACCGTTGAGATAACACAGCGCCAACACCAGTGTCAGAGGCATCAATCTCAACTGTGAACTGTTTCTTGGGATCGGGGTGAATAAGTATGGGTGCCTGGGAGAACCTAGCCCTAAGAGAACTGAAGGCTGCTTCAGCTTCAGGATTCCACTGGAAGGGGACCTTTACAGAGGTAAGAGCATGAAGGGGGGCGGCAACCTGGCTGTAGCTGCGGATAAAACGTCTATAGAAGTTGGCGAAGCCAAGAAAACGCTGCAGCTCCTTTCTGCTTTGAGGAACTGGGCCAGTCACGGACAGCCTTAATCTTATCAGGGTCGGGTCGAACACGTCCCCCTTCAAGGATGAGCCCAAGGAAGGTAATTGAGGACTTGTGGAACTCACATTTCTCTGCTTTGACAAACAGTTTGTTCTCCAGGAGGCGCTGGAGGACAAGACGAACGTGGTGTTGATGCTCAGCCAAATCACGGGAATAGATCAAGATATCATCCAGATAAACAAAAACAAAAACATTCAAGAAGTCTCTGAGGACATCGTTCACGAGGGCCTGAAAAACTGAGGGAGCATTGCACAGGCCGAAAGGCATCACGAGGTACTCGAAATGACCTATGGGGGTCTTGAAGGCCGTTTTCCACTCATCCCCCTGGCGGACCCGTACCAAGTGGTAAGCGTTGCGAAGATCTAACTTCGTAAAGATAGTGGCCGATTGTACCGGTTCGAGGGCTGAGGAGAGGAGCGGTAGGGGATACTTATTCTTAACGGTAATGGCGTTTAACCCACGGTAATCAATGCACGGACGTAGGGACCCGTCCTTTTTTCCGACAAAGAAAAACCCTGCTCCTAGGGGAGAAGACGAGGGGCGTATGAGGCCGGCGGCTAACGACTCGTTAATATATTTCTCCATGGCCTGCCTCTCGGTTTGGGAGATATTATAGAGCCTACTGGTCGGTAGAGGAGCGCCGGGTAACAGCTCGATAGCGCAGTCATAGGGGCGATGGGGAGGTAACAAGAAAGCCTGTGATTTGCTGAAAACCCTCCGAAGGTCCTGATACTGGACTGGCACCAGTTCCAGATCCTCAGGGCCGATCTCGGCAGAGGAAAAACCGGAGGCCGGGCTGGTCGGCACGGCTGCATGCAAACAACGCGATAAACAGTTAGGTGACCAACATTCGACACGACGGTCGGCCCAGTTAATCTGCGGGTTATGCGACTGCAACCAAGAGAAGCCCAGAACCAACGGAGAATGCTGAACGGGGAACACGAGAAAAGAAATCCGTTCACGGTGATTACCTGAAACAACTAGCTCAAGAGGCTTCGTTTGGTGTGTAATTTGTGGGAGAGCTCCGCCATTTAACGCGGAGACCCTGAGAGGGGAACTCAAAGGAACAGTCTCGAGTCGAGCCTGGTGCACAAAGGATTGATCAATCAAATTAAACTCGCACCCCGAGTCGAGCAGGGCGGATAACTTAAAAGTTTCTTGCGGAGTAACAACCAAGGCGGGGAGACTAAGCCGCGGGGAGGTAGAGATCTTGGATCGGCCCGCCGGGTTCTCCGCTACTGCCGGCGGACCTGATCTTTTGGCCGTTCAGGACAGGTGCTAATAAAGTGGTCTGAGGAGGCGCAATAGAGACACAATCTGGCATCCATACGTTTCTGTCTCTCCTCAGGGGAGAGCCTTAAACGGCCCAACTGCATTGGTTCCGGAGGAGAGGGTGGGGCGGTCGCGGATCGGGTTGGAGGGCGATCCGGGATTAATGGCCTGGGTGGAAGCGGCCTATCCGCTCTGCCCCGGCTTCTACCCCTAATACGGTTGTCTAAGCGTATGGCCAAAGTTATCATGTCGTTAAGGGTCGCCGGTTCCTCCAGGCGAGCGAGTTCGTCCTTTAACGGATCGTCCAAAGACTGAAAAAACACTGTTTTTAAAGCACGCTGTTCCCAGCCCGCGGCGGCCGCGAGCGTGCGAAACTCAATGGCAAAATCAGCTACACGCCTCCCTCGCTGCCTGAGGGCGAGAAGCCGACGAGAATCCTGCACCTCATCGGAATCAGCAGCGAAAACCATTTTAAATTCAGAAAGAAACTCAGAGAAGGTATAACCAAAACTCTGACAGTCGGGAAAGCGGGACTCAGCCCATCTTAATGCTCGCCCGGTCAATAAACGTAAAATAAAAGCTATCTTGGCATAATCCTGAGCATAACGTCGAGGCGACTGGTTGAAAACAAGAGAGCACTGAAAAAGAAAACCTCCACAATCCCCACTGTCCCCTGAGAATTTGTCGGGGCTGGGAGAGAAAGATTCAGGGATCAGTGGAGGGGCAATCAGCTGACGCTGAGTCGGAAGCGGGGTTAAGCATGACGGGAGCGGCTGGATCAGGAGCGGCAGGTTCAGGACCGGCGGTGAGCGCGGCCGTCAGCAGATTAAGCTGAGCAGAGATGCCCTGAAACTGATCCTGCATCGAACGAACTACCGTTTCTAACCCCCGAATCTTATCCTGTTGGGCGTCTAACGCCCTGCCTAAAGTGCCTGCTGGGTCTGTTTGGCCAGAGTATTCTTCTGTCAAAGTTGGTCTGATATGTCTGACCCACATGCAGAACACTCAGGAAAAACAGGTCACAGATTAACGTTTTATTCTTAAAGGAAATAATAATCCGTAACTCCTCTAGGAAACGACCACCAGAAGAGGAGTTCGCGAGGCGAATCTCTCGAGCGGAACACGAACAATCTAGGGATTAAGGAGAGGAAACAATTAGCGGAGGAAGGCAGAGGGAGAAGAAGAAGGTGAGACGCGCCGGCTTACCACTTAGGCTTGGGAACGGCCGGGGGGGGGGGGACTGAGTGAACTTAGCTCTGCAGGCGGAGAGGTTCCGACAGCTGACCGGTGGAGGAGGGCGCAGGCTGGGGTCCGAGCGGCGCTGGCCAAATCCTGAGACAGCAGGGGGAACCAGACGGATCTGGGGGTGGTCCTTCCACGGCCCGGTTCGGCGGTCCACGAAGCCGAGTGGGTTTCCAGGAGCCAGAGACGAGGGATCAGCTGGGCCAGAAACGAGCTGAGGCGGAAGGCTGCTCTGCTTTGCCTGAGCCTCGGGGGGGAAAAAGGCAAGCAGAACCTGGGAGACACAGAGAGCACGAGCTTAGAAAAAGGTTTGATCAGCCTGGAGACTGAGGCCTCTGAAGCATACCAACAACGGATAATACTCTGGCGTCCTCCTGCTGTCAGAGTGCAGATCTTATAGTGCAGCCCAGCGCCGCTGAACACATGCCGAGGGCGCGCACCCCGCCCATCAGTCAATTGCCGTCAGCTGTGGAGAGAGCAGAGGGAAAAAGCAGGCCAGCAGAGACTGAGTCCTGACAGTAGGATTCTATGCTCAACTACAGAGGGCCGGATTTATCAAGATCCAATT